TGGATTGAGACCGTTTCACTCATGTTTGTCCTCATAGTCATGTGTAGAACCTATTAATCCATGTTTGGTAAGTATGGGTCCATCTAGTTCATCTTATACACTACAAGTGAGTTTCCACAATGTGGAGGCACAGAGGTACATTTCGGACTCCTTACCTCTTCCGGTTCCCAAATTTGGTCCATTTGATGTTCCTCCCTTGGATTGAGACCGTTTCACTCATGTTTGTCCTCATAGTCATGTGTAGAACCTATTAATCCATGTTTGGTAAGTATGGGTCCATCTAGTTCATCTTATACACTACAAGTGAGTTTCCACAATGTGGAGGCACAGAGGTACATTTCGGACTCCTTACCTCTTCCGGTTCCCAAATTTGGTCCATTTGATGTTCCTCCCTTGGATTGAGACCGTTTCACTCATGTTTGTCCTCATAGTCATGTGTAGAACCTATTAATCCATGTTTGGGTAAGTATGGGTCCATCTAGTTCATCTTATACACTACAAGTGAGTTTCCACAATGTGGAGGCACAGAGGTACATTTCGGACTCCTTACCTCTTCCGGTTCCCAAATTTGGTCCATTTGATGTTCCTCCCTTGGATTGAGACCGTTTCACTCATGTTTGTCCTCATAGTCATGTGTAGAACTAATAATTTTGGTAAGTATGGGTCCATCTAGTTCATCTTATACACTACAAGTGAGTTTCCACAATGTGGAGGCACAGAGGTACATTTCGGACTCCTTACCTCTTCCGGTTCCCAAATTTGGTCCATTTGATGTTCCTCCCTTGGATTGAGACCGTTTCACTCATGTTTGTCCTCATAGTCATGTGTAGAAGCTATTAATCCATGTTTGGTAAGTATGGGTCCATCTAGTTCATCTTATACACTACAAGTGAGTTTCCACAATGTGGAGGCACAGAGGTACATTTCGGACTCCTTACCTCTTCCGGTTCCCAAATTTGGTCCATTTGATGTTCCTCCCTTGGATTGAGACCGTTTCACTCATGTTTGTCCTCATAGTCATGTGTAGAAGCTATTAATCCATGTTTGGTAAGTATGGGTCCATCTAGTTCATCTTATACACTACAAGTGAGTTTCCACAATGTGGAGGCACAGAGGTACATTTCGGACTCCTTACCTCTTCCGGTTCCCAAATTTGGTCCATTTGATGTTCCTCCCTTGGATTGAGACCGTTTCACTCATGTTTGTCCTCATAGTCATGTGTAGAAGCTATTAATCCATGTTTTGGTAAGTATGGGTCCATCTAGTTCATCTTATACACTACAAGTGAGTTTCCACAATGTGGAGGCACAGAGGTACATTTCGGACTCCTTACCTCTTCCGGTTCCCAAATTTGGTCCATTTGATGTTCCTCCCTTGGATTGAGACCGTTTCACTCATGTTTGTCCTCATAGTCATGTGTAGAACCTATTAATCCATGTTTGGGTAAGTATGGGTCCATCTAGTTCATCTTATACACTACAAGTGAGTTTCCACAATGTGGAGGCACAGAGGTACATTTCGGACTCCTTACCTCTTCCGGTTCCCAAATTTGGTCCATTTGATGTTCCTCCCTTGGATTGAGACCGTTTCACTCATGTTTGTCCTCATAGTCATGTGTAGAAGCTATTAATCCATGTTTGGGTAAGTATGGGTCCATCTAGTTCATCTTATACACTACAAGTGAGTTTCCACAATGTGGAGGCACAGAGGTACATTTCGGACTCCTTACCTCTTCCGGTTCCCAAATTTGGTCCATTTGATGTTCCTCCCTTGGATTGAGACCGTTTCACTCATGTTTGTCCTCATAGTCATGTGTAGAAGCTATTAATCCATGTTTGGTAAGTATGGGTCCATCTAGTTCATCTTATACACTACAAGTGAGTTTCCACAATGTGGAGGCACAGAGGTACATTTCGGACTCCTTACCTCTTCCGGTTCCCAAATTTGGTCCATTTGATGTTCCTCCCTTGGATTGAGACCGTTTCACTCATGTTTGTCCTCATAGTCATGTGTAGAACTATTAATCCATGTTTGGTAAGTATGGGTCCATCTAGTTCATCTTATACACTACAAGTGAGTTTCCACAATGTGGAGGCACAGAGGTACATTTCGGACTCCTTACCTCTTCCGGTTCCCAAATTTGGTCCATTTGATGTTCCTCCCTTGGATTGAGACCGTTTCACTCATGTTTGTCCTCATAGTCATGTGTAGAAGCTATTAATCCATGTTTGGTAAGTATGGGTCCATCTAGTTCATCTTATACACTACAAGTGAGTTTCCTCAATCTGGAGTCACAGAGGTACATTTCGGACTCCTTACCTCTTCCGGTTCCCAAATTGGTCCATTTGATGTTCCTCCCTTGGATTGAGACCGTTTCACTCATGTTTGTCCTCATAGTCATATGGAGAACCTATTAATCCATGTTTGGGTAAGTATGGGTCCATCTAGTTCATCTTATACACTACAAGTGAGTTTCCTCAATCTGGAGTCACAGAGGTACATTTCGGACTCCTTACCTCTTCCGGTTCCCAAATTTGGTCCATTTGATGTTCCTCCCTTGGATTGAGACCGTTTCACTCATGTTTGTCCTCATAGTCATGTGTAGAACCTATTAATCCATGTTTGGGTAAGTATGGGTCCATCTAGTTCATCTTATACACTACAAGTGAGTTTCCTCAATCTGGAGTCACAGAGGTACATTTCGGACTCCTTACCTCTTCCGGTTCCCAAATTTGGTCCATTTGATGTTCCTCCCTTGGATTGAGACCGTTTCACTCATGTTTGTCCTCATAGTCATGTATAGAACCTATTAATCCATGTTTGGGTAAGTATGGGTCCATCTAGTTCATCTTATACACTACAAGTGAGTTTCCTCAATCTGGAGTCACAGAGGTACATTTCGGACTCCTTACCTCTTCCGGTTCCCAAATTGGTCCATTTGATGTTCCTCCCTTGGATTGAGACCGTTTCACTCATGTTTGTCCTCATAGTCATGTATAGAACCTATTAATCCATGTTTGGGTAAGTATGGGTCCATCTAGTTCATCTTATACACTACAAGTGAGTTTCCTCAATGTGGAGTCACAGAGGTACATTTCGGACTCCTTACCTCTTCCGGTTCCCAAATTTGGTCCATTTGATGTTCCTCCCTTGGATTGAGACCGTTTCACTCATGTTTGTCCTCATAGTCATGTATAGAACCTATTAATCCATGTTTGGGTAAGTATGGGTCCATCTAGTTCATCTTATACACTACAAGTGAGTTTCCTCAATCTGGAGTCACAGAGGTACATTTCGGACTCCTTACCTCTTCCGGTTCCCAAATTTGGTCCATTTGATGTTCCTCCCTTGGATTGAGACCGTTTCACTCATGTTTGTCCTCATAGTCATGTATAGAACCTATTAATCCATGTTTGGGTAAGTATGGGTCCATCTAGTTCATCTTATACACTACAAGTGAGTTTCCTCAATGTGGAGTCACAGAGGTACATTTCGGACTCCTTACCTCTTCCGGTTCCCAAATTGGTCCATTTGATGTTCCTCCCTTGGATTGAGACCGTTTCACTCATGTTTGTCCTCATAGTCATGTAGAACCTATTAATCCATGTTTGGGTAAGTATGGGTCCATCTAGTTCATCTTATACACTACAAGTGAGTTTCCTCAATCTGGAGTCACAGAGGTACATTTCGGACTCCTTACCTCTTCCGGTTCCCAAATTTGGTCCATTTGATGTTCCTCCCTTGGATTGAGACCGTTTCACTCATGTTTGTCCTCATAGTCATGTATAGAACCTATTAATCCATGTTTGGGTAAGTATGGGTCCATCTAGTTCATCTTATACACTACAAGTGAGTTTCCTCAATGTGGAGTCACAGAGGTACATTTCGGACTCCTTACCTCTTCCGGTTCCCAAATTTGGTCCATTTGATGTTCCTCCCTTGGATTGAGACCGTTTCACTCATGTTTGTCCTCATAGTCATGTATAGAACCTATTAATCCATGTTTGGGTAAGTATGGGTCCATCTAGTTCATCTTATACACTACAAGTGAGTTTCCTCAATCTGGAGTCACAGAGGTACATTTCGGACTCCTTACCTCTTCCGGTTCCCAAATTTGGTCCATTTGATGTTCCTCCCTTGGATTGAGACCGTTTCACTCATGTTTGTCCTCATAGTCATGTATAGAACCTATTAATCCATGTTTGGGTAAGTATGGGTCCATCTAGTTCATCTTATACACTACAAGTGAGTTTCCTCAATCTGGAGTCACAGAGGTACATTTCGGACTCCTTACCTCTTCCGGTTCCCAAATTAGGTCCATTTGATGTTCCTCCCTTGGATTGAGACCGTTTCACTCATGTTTGTCCTCATAGTCATGTATAGAACCTATTAATCCATGTTTGGGTAAGTATGGGTCCATCTAGTTCATCTTATACACTACAAGTGAGTTTCCTCAATGTGGAGTCACAGAGGTACATTTCGGACTCCTTACCTCTTCCGGTTCCCAAATTTGGTCCATTTGATGTTCCTCCCTTGGATTGAGACCGTTTCACTCATGTTTGTCCTCATAGTCATGTATAGAACCTATTAATCCATGTTTGGGTAAGTATGGGTCCATCTAGTTCATCTTATACACTACAAGTGAGTTTCCTCAATCTGGAGTCACAGAGGTACATTTCGGACTCCTTACCTCTTCCGGTTCCCAAATTTGGTCCATTTGATGTTCCTCCCTTGGATTGAGACCGTTTCACTCATGTTTGTCCTCATAGTCATGTAGAACCTATTAATCCATGTTTGGGTAAGTATGGGTCCATCTAGTTCATCTTATACACTACAAGTGAGTTTCCTCAATCTGGAGTCACAGAGGTACATTTCGGACTCCTTACCTCTTCCGGTTCCCAAATTTGGTCCATTTGATGTTCCTCCCTTGGATTGAGACCGTTTCACTCATGTTTGTCCTCATAGTCATGTAGAACCTATTAATCCATGTTTGGGTAAGTATGGGTCCATCTAGTTCATCTTATACACTACAAGTGAGTTTCCTCAATGTGGAGTCACAGAGGTACATTTCGGACTCCTTACCTCTTCCGGTTCCCAAATTGGTCCATTTGATGTTCCTCCCTTGGATTGAGACCGTTTCACTCATGTTTGTCCTCATAGTCATGGAGAACCTATTAATCCATGTTTGGGTAAGTATGGGTCCATCTAGTTCATCTTATACACTACAAGTGAGTTTCCTCAATGTGGAGTCACAGAGGTACATTTCGGACTCCTTACCTCTTCCGGTTCCCAAATTTGGTCCATTTGATGTTCCTCCCTTGGATTGAGACCGTTTCACTCATGTTTGTCCTCATAGTCATGTGTAGAACCTATTAATCCATGTTTGGGTAAGTATGGGTCCATCTAGTTCATCTTATACACTACAAGTGAGTTTCCTCAATGTGGAGTCACAGAGGTACATTTCGGACTCCTTACCTCTTCCGGTTCCCAAATTTGGTCCATTTGATGTTCCTCCCTTGGATTGAGACCGTTTCACTCATGTTTGTCCTCATAGTCATGTTAGAAGCTATTAATCCATGTTTGGGTAAGTATGGGTCCATCTAGTTCATCTTATACACTACAAGTGAGTTTCCTCAATGTGGAGTCACAGAGGTACATTTCGGACTCCTTACCTCTTCCGGTTCCCAAATTTGGTCCATTTGATGTTCCTCCCTTGGATTGAGACCGTTTCACTCATGTTTGTCCTCATAGTCATGTATAGAACCTATTAATCCATGTTTGGGTAAGTATGGGTCCATCTAGTTCATCTTATACACTACAAGTGAGTTTCCTCAATGTGGAGTCACAGAGGTACATTTCGGACTCCTTACCTCTTCCGGTTCCCAAATTTGGTCCATTTGATGTTCCTCCCTTGGATTGAGACCGTTTCACTCATGTTTGTCCTCATAGTCATGTGAGAACCTATTAATCCATGTTTGGGTAAGTATGGGTCCATCTAGTTCATCTTATACACTACAAGTGAGTTTCCTCAATCTGGAGTCACAGAGGTACATTTCGGACTCCTTACCTCTTCCGGTTCCCAAATTTGGTCCATTTGATGTTCCTCCCTTGGATTGAGACCGTTTCACTCATGTTTGTCCTCATAGTCATGTATAGAACCTATTAATCCATGTTTGGGTAAGTATGGGTCCATCTAGTTCATCTTATACACTACAAGTGAGTTTCCTCAATCTGGAGTCACAGAGGTACATTTCGGACTCCTTACCTCTTCCGGTTCCCAAATTTGGTCCATTTGATGTTCCTCCCTTGGATTGAGACCGTTTCAGTCATGTTTGTCCTCATAGTCATGTATAGAAGCTATTAATCCATGTTTGGGTAAGTATGGGTCCATCTAGTTCATCTTATACACTACAAGTGAGTTTCCTCAATCTGGAGTCACAGAGGTACATTTCGGACTCCTTACCTCTTCCGGTTCCCAAATTGGTCCATTTGATGTTCCTCCCTTGGATTGAGACCGTTTCACTCATGTTTGTCCTCATAGTAATGTATAGAACCTATTAATCCATGTTTGGGTAAGTATGGGTCCATCTAGTTCATCTTATACACTACAAGTGAGTTTCCTCAATGTGGAGTCACAGAGGTACATTTCGGACTCCTTACCTCTTCCGGTTCCCAAATTTGGTCCATTTGATGTTCCTCCCTTGGATTGAGACCGTTTCACTCATGTTTGTCCTCATAGTCATGTATAGAACCTATTAATCCATGTTTGGGTAAGTATGGGTCCATCTAGTTCATCTTATACACTACAAGTGAGTTTCCTCAATGTGGAGTCACAGAGGTACATTTCGGACTCCTTACCTCTTCCGGTTCCCAAATTAGGTCCATTTGATGTTCCTCCCTTGGATTGAGACCGTTTCACTCATGTTTGTCCTCATAGTCATGTATAGAACCTATTAATCCATGTTTGGGTAAGTATGGGTCCATCTAGTTCATCTTATACACTACAAGTGAGTTTCCTCAATCTGGAGTCACAGAGGTACATTTCGGACTCCTTACCTCTTCCGGTTCCCAAATTTGGTCCATTTGATGTTCCTCCCTTGGATTGAGACCGTTTCACTCATGTTTGTCCTCATAGTCATGTATAGAAGCTATTAATCCATGTTTGGGTAAGTATGGGTCCATCTAGTTCATCTTATACACTACAAGTGAGTTTCCTCAATCTGGAGTCACAGAGGTACATTTCGGACTCCTTACCTCTTCCGGTTCCCAAATTAGGTCCATTTGATGTTCCTCCCTTGGATTGAGACCGTTTCACTCATGTTTGTCCTCATAGTCATGTAGAAGCTATTAATCCATGTTTGGGTAAGTATGGGTCCATCTAGTTCATCTTATACACTACAAGTGAGTTTCCTCAATCTGGAGTCACAGAGGTACATTTCGGACTCCTTACCTCTTCCGGTTCCCAAATTTGGTCCATTTGATGTTCCTCCCTTGGATTGAGACCGTTTCACTCATGTTTGTCCTCATAGTCATGTATAGAACCTATTAATCCATGTTTGGGTAAGTATGGGTCCATCTAGTTCATCTTATACACTACAAGTGAGTTTCCTCAATCTGGAGTCACAGAGGTACATTTCGGACTCCTTACCTCTTCCGGTTCCCAAATTTGGTCCATTTGATGTTCCTCCCTTGGATTGAGACCGTTTCACTCATGTTTGTCCTCATAGTCATGTATAGAAGCTATTAATCCATGTTTGGGTAAGTATGGGTCCATCTAGTTCATCTTATACACTACAAGTGAGTTTCCTCAATCTGGAGTCACAGAGGTACATTTCGGACTCCTTACCTCTTCCGGTTCCCAAATTTGGTCCATTTGATGTTCCTCCCTTGGATTGAGACCGTTTCACTCATGTTTGTCCTCATAGTAATGTGGAGAACCTATTAATCCATGTTTGGGTAAGTATGGGTCCATCTAGTTCATCTTATACACTACAAGTGAGTTTCCTCAATGTGGAGTCACAGAGGTACATTTCGGACTCCTTACCTCTTCCGGTTCCCAAATTTGGTCCATTTGATGTTCCTCCCTTGGATTGAGACCGTTTCACTCATGTTTGTCCTCATAGTCATGTATAGAAGCTATTAATCCATGTTTGGGTAAGTATGGGTCCATCTAGTTCATCTTATACACTACAAGTGAGTTTCCTCAATGTGGAGTCACAGAGGTACATTTCGGACTCCTTACCTCTTCCGGTTCCCAAATTAGGTCCATTTGATGTTCCTCCCTTGGATTGAGACCGTTTCACTCATGTTTGTCCTCATAGTCATGTATAGAAGCTATTAATCCATGTTTGGGTAAGTATGGGTCCATCTTGTTCATCTTATACACTACAAGTGAGTTTCCTCAATCTGGAGTCACAGAGGTACATTTCGGACTCCTTA